TGGGATCCGGTGTTGGGTCCCGGGACTAATGGCCTTCGAGTGCCCGCACTGGGCAACCAGTTTCCCTGCCAAACAACCCCTTTGCGTGCCCCCTCACTGTGGCGCGCAACAGTTTGCGCAAGTGCAAGGGCGCATTTTCTGTAGTTGTAATAGTATGGAATTTCATTAACTTGAAAAGAGGACCAGTTGTTGAGGTTCTCTTAGAAGAAGCTGCCTAATCTTGTGTGGGCACGTTTTGGAACGTGTTCTTGGTCAGTTTATTGGGTTTGGTCTTGTGCCTTTGTAGTGGTTGAGTGATGTTAGAGGGCTGGTCATGTTGCTTTTGAAGTTTGGTTGCATATTCTATGTTTTGAATTCGGGGTTGTGTACATTGCCCCTTTGCAACATGTCTTGTGTTTCAAGTAGTAGACAATGCTTTCAGACGCCCAACCATTGCTATAGCGTTTTGTTGCACACGGGAGGCGCAACCCCGTTCTGAAAAATGTGTAAAATGGTTTCGATTGTGTGGCCATTTTGGTGACGCCGGTGTTGGGGTTGTGGGATGGCCTGAACCGTTTTGAAGGGTCAAGTGGACGGTTTGAAGGGGTCAGACCAGTGCATTTTGTGGACGTGCAAACACTGTTTAGTGATTGATAGGTGTGCGTGTGGCTGTGGGCGTTGAGCACCACGTTAGGCCATACGACACTTGAGGCGTCCCGGGCATAAAAAGGTGCCCCGCAGCACCGCAGAGTGCCACACCACAAAACGCCCGCTGAGAAAGCGAGCTGGGGGTGGCGGCCGAGGAGGCTGTGCACCCCCGCTCAGAGTGGCAAGAGGGTGGGCACTGCACCCACAAAGGCGCCGTTTCGGCGCCTCGTCCGTTGGGCGGTCTCCCCAACGATCCCTTCAAGGCATCCCTCGAATCTGATTCGGGGATGGCCACAAACGCCCAAAGGACGCCGAGAAGGCGCCCACTGCATAGCCAAGGCAAAGCGCACGGGATAGTCAGGCCGCGAAGGCCCCAAAAGTGCAGCCCAAAACGGTGAAGGGCGCCCACCACAAGACGCACACCATGGCGAGCCGCCGATGGCTGGCCATCGGAGATCTGCCCATCAAAATCCATCGACGCGGAGATGGTGGCGTCCGCCACGGGGAGGCCCTGAGAAGGGGTTGCCCGGCTGAGAGGAGAAGCTTGGAGAGGCCGCAACATGAGGGCGTGCGCTGGAACAACGTGGCGCTCCCTTGAGGGTGGTCGCAGTCACCCAAGGAGTGTGCAAGGATGTGAGCGCGAAAGTGAAACTTCCAGCACGCGTCCAAGTCAGGAAGGTGTAGAATGGGGCTGGTTTGTAATTTGGCTGTGTGGTGCAGTGGTGTGTATGTGTGTGCAAGAAAAGGGCACGCGGAGAAGGCATCAAATACATTTCTGTGTGCTCAAACTGTAGTTTTGGACACTGAATGTGATTTAGTTAGCACGTGGTCCATTTGTACGGGCAGTGACACCTTGGCTCTTGGGTGTTCATTCACAGCTGCCCCTTGATTTTGGCGGCCAGGACCGTATAATGAAAAAGACGCTCTTTAATGAACGGCTGCCACGAACAGTGCATCAAACCGCAAACAACATCACTCAATCAACTTGTCTTGGGCCCTTGTACTCTGCCAAACGCCGCCTGCAGACATGTTCGTGCGTGCGCAGCGACTGCTATGCGCCAGCCAAGGGCAAAGCGCGGAGCCCGAGACGGGGCCAGCGGTGCCAGCAAACCAAAAAGAAGCGCTGTCCCCACTCCGCAGGCCACGCCTGCCGCCCATCAGGTACGTGCTCCAGCGCTGTACCCACCAACCGCGAAGTCTGCCAAACGCGAGTACCAGCACATCCTGCTCAGCCTCACGCCCGTCGCGCTCTACCGCGACAACGTCCATTTTGTGCGCAACTTCCTGACGGCACAAGAATGCGAAGCGTGGATCCGGTTCGCCAACGTACAAGGCTTTGAGGATGCGCGGCACCCCGCGACAAGCGACACAGCATTCAGAGACAACGGCCGTATCGAGGTGTGGGATGAGCGCGTTGCAGAAGGGATCTGGCTGCGGCTGAAGGCGCTGGTGCCGGAGAGAGTTGACGGATGGAAGGCTTGTGGGTGTTATGAAAAGCTTCGGGTCTACCGGTACAAGGCAGGTGGGCAACGATTTGGCAAGCACATCGACGAGTCAACGGGAGGAACGAAGCCCGGTACACGCACAGCGATAACCGTCCTTATTTATCTGAACGGCAGTGGTGGTGCGGGTGTCGGTGTCAACACGGAAGGGGAGGGGACTGGGAGGTTGGGACGGGACAGCGAGGTTGAGCTGGTTGGCGGAGAGACTGTGTTCTACCGTGGGGTCGCTGGGAACAGTGAGGCAGCGCGGTTTGCGCCGCTGGCGGGCGCAATGCTTTGGCATGGCCATGGGGAACGCTGCTTGGTACACGAGGCCTTAGCGGTTAACCAAGGCGTGAAATATGTGCTTAGGACCGATGTCTTGTTTGAGCGACCGTGAGTACCTTGCGAGTCTCCTTTTGTGCGTATGTTGTGTGCACTTGTTTGTCCTCTGTTTCTTATCGATTCGGTAAACAATTGTATGGCAGATTCCATGCAATAGGATGAACAAATGAAGCCAAAACAAGAACACATTATGGATGGACTGCCCCCTGCAATTGCAGGGTATGCCATTGTAGTGGGCCCAATTGTTGCCGCTTTTAGTGTGGTTATGTCAGGGTTTCGAATGCATGACTCATAACTTCAAGCATATGGCTGATGACCGCAAGGTGACCCATTGGGACCAGAACAGGCGACTGTGAAGCAGGCAACAGTTGAAAGGCCTGCCATCTTCCATCAATTTCTTGAATGTCAGCATCATATTCCCCAACGTTCTCAAGTTTGCTTACTAGCATTTCCACTATCATTTGTCTTCAGAGAGAAGCGCACAATCTCCAGAGTATTGGCTTGGAGGCGTCCATCTCACAACAATCCTCCTTAAGGCAACTCTTGCTCTCAACAGCGGGTGCTGAAGGTTTCAGCTGCCTAGATAGCAGGTTAAGGATAAACTCGTCCCGCTAAGTTCCACAATAAGTCCTCAAAGGGTGTATTACCCAGACATGGACCTTGCAAACTGGAAATCATGTGCTACATTTTGGTTACTGTGACGTCACATCGATGCATCAATGTAAGGAACAAACAAAGCACTACACCACCCATGTATTTTCCCCAAATTCTGTGTCACATGGGAAACTGCCAGAGCAGAGTTCAGTTGCAAAGATAAGTCCCATGTGCCAGAATCACCAGTGTGGGCATTTTAATGGATTCTTTCAAATAAACAAGAACAACAATGCTGATGCAAAGGATTTGGTTCTTTATTGTCCTGTTTTGACCACATCGTCACTTAAGAAATTCGCACATGACATTCTGCAGAGTCCATCAGACAACAACCAAACACCCAGGCAGTACCCCAATCAGTGGCTACATCGATGAAATTTGTCTATCATATATCCAGTATCTTGTGAAAGGTTTGCAAAACAACAATTCACTGCCTGTACACCACCACTTGAAGTTGGTGGTTCACAGGTCTCTGGACCATGCCAATGGAGTCATCGACAGAAGTATCCATTTGGTGTCAAGGTCCTATCTACTACACAGAACACTTTCCCACATCCAACAACCAAAACGAATCAAATCTGCTTCTACCTCTCCCATACCATGTAACTTACAGCAATCATGTTTCTAGGAGTAGCCAAGACTAGTTGTGTCTCAATGGCTCAACGATCGCTGTGTTCAAGGAAGCCATGGACATAGAAACTAAGGCATGTCCAATGCAGTGGTGGGTTCCATACAGCTTTGGCAAAACATACATCCTGCACACCCCTATATTTCCCCCTTCGCAAGATCTGTTGCACCAAGCAGCACTGTGTCTTCCAATCACTGGCTGGATGCTCATTCAGGCAGCATCTGCTCAGAGTCAACCTGCATGGCATTTGGCACGTCAAGTTAGACTTCATCAGAAATCTGTGGAACAAGGACTGTGGCCAAGCCAGAACAAAATGGCCAGGAAGGCCAAAATGGCACACAAGATCATGAAGGCAGGAGTATTGCGCATTACAAAAACATAATATTGGTCCATACCAGCAGTACATTTTGTAACAGCAGAACTGCTGAAACAGCAAGACATTTTGAGGCACACACACATATGCACAAAATGAGACACAATGGTTCAATGGAGCAAGTTGCAAAAAGCACACAGATTAACAAATAAAATCAGTCACTTCACTGTTTGAAGGACACAAGTTTTCCCTCCCCTTCCCCCAGGTCCCATACCCAACAGGTAAATTCCCCTCCCCTTCCCCATCACCCCAACACATCCCATCACCATCATATCATCCTGGAACTGTGAGGATCAAGCTTCGCCAGCGTTTTCACAACACCAGAACCAAAGCCCACCAACCTACCCACACCCAAACCCACACCAACACCTACAGTCCATGCCAAACAATAGTACAGACCCCACAAATTGGTTGTCTTGCCTGTGCCGGTGACGCGACATTCATTTGTAGGATTCACTGTAATTGTCCCCCCACACCCACCCCACACCCCCACCCCACCCACACCCCCAACCAGCACACATAACCACACAACATGAGAACGTACATTGTCACCATCATCCATGCGACTCTTTGGGGCACCGCCTGACTTGTCTTTCTTTCCTATTCCACTGACAACGTCATCAATTCTCAACAACATGGCAGCGGCCTCCACAGCTGTTTTCAGGGTCTGCACCTGTTGCAGCAAAGAAAAGCAGGGAGCTGACATGCTGGTGCCAATGCAAACCGAACCTGGACACGCAAATTTTCCACAAGTGCAACATTGAAATGCACAGTGGCCTTGTGGCAAGCCACATGGCACTGGAATCCTCAGGTTTCTCAATGCAGGTGAGCAGCAATGGTGCACATTATACATTGCAGCTCAAAGGAGGTGCCCTGGTGGCACTCACTGTCACAGTGCCAACCTAAAAAGGAAGCCTCACATTGTATGTGCCAGTGACCACTCAAAAGGAAGATCAGTTAAACAATAACTGCACTGCCAGTCCTGCAGAATACATGTATTCAAAACTGTGGAGCCCTCACTGGGCCCTGCGATGTACGCAACACCTGCATCCACCATACCCTTCAATGACAGCACACCGCACCTTGACTTCATATGGCTCCCATATCCCCTTAGCCTTCATGTCAACGATCTCCCCAGACTCCCCATCGATCCCAAATGTGCAGTCTGGGTCATCTGCATGCTTTGCCCTCAGCTTTGTCAGAGTTCGAATAACATTGGCACCGCAGTTCTCAGCAAGAGTTCTGGGGATTACTTCCAGTGCAGCGCTAACAGCCCTGCAGCCAAGACAATGGATTCAGTGAGTTGGGTTGAGAAGCAGCCACTGCCTGGGGCTGCCAATGAGGTCGACCAGTACCTAACAAGCAAAACCAGCGGGAGAAAACATTTGCGCTTGACTGCTCATCAACAGCATGGTCAAAGAGTTGCCACAGGAAGTAGAACCGCAAGCACAACTACACAACCACAGTTGGGTGAATGCACTTCTACAGCAGGTGTCCTTTTCAATTAGTGTTTCACCTGTATGGCCACTGTTCGATCTCCTTCATGGACTGAGCCCTTTCTGTGAGTCCCCTGGACACTGCCATCTCAACAGCTCCGCCCCCAGGGACGAGTCTCTTGTCCATTGCAATATTTCTTGCCACACCCATGGCATCGTGCAGATTCCTTTCGATCTCATTGAGGACATCCTTGGATGGGCCCCTGTGCATGCAGTCCCCATACATTCTCGATCAGAAACAGCACACTTACTGGCCACAGGAAAGCTGGATTTATGCAGTCAGAATGGCTGCCAAACACGCATGGCACTGTGAACGCCACCTGCAAGCACAGGGGTGTCTCTCTGCAATCACACTCAGCATGTGGATGCAACAATGTGCAGCCTTGTTACAGTTCTAGCAGCCTGTGAAATTTGCTGGTGGGAAGACATGGAGAATGATACTTACTGACTTGAGGGCATGAGGACAATGCATTCAACCACACAATATAGAAATACAGTTCTGTTCCTTACAAAACAGAAAACAAGGCAACTCTGCCCACCTCAACAGTATTGTGCATGCCTTTGGCTCTTTGCAGTCCACTATAAATGAGAAGAACTCGTCACCAATCTTCACCACCTCAAACAAGCCACATTTTGTGCCCACATCGCTCTCTTTGGCTTCTTCAGGCCTGTGCACGATTGTTGCTCCACATGCCCTTGCAATGCGGTTGTTGTCTGTCTTCCTCACACGGCGGATGCCAGATATTCCAGCCTTGGTCAAGAAGTGAGCAGCAAGATCGCTGAGCCCTTTCTCGGTGATCACAACATCAGGCTTCAGGTTTATGATGGCAGTGCACAACCGCTCCACGTACTCCTCCTCTACCTTCAAGAGAGCAGCCCTGCACATAAAGTACACTGTTGGATATGACCAACCAGAGTCCCACACTTCAGGTCTCCTATTGAGAAAGAGCACTCTGACAGCATTGTGGTGTTCCTGCGATTGCACTTGTCAATGTTGACAAATCATACCTGCCCGTCAACAGACCAATGAAGCACAGAGCATGGTTCACAAAGCAGCGTTCCAAACTGAACATATGAACTATATTCAGAACACCAGTGCAATGCACTGTCAACTGTTGACATGCGTCACTGCCATGTGAGACCATTTACACACAAGTGCTGTGGACCCATTGCAGAGCAACACCAGTGCAATGCACTGTCAACTGTTGACATGCGTCACTGCCATGTGAGACCATTTACACACAAGTGCTGTGGACCCATTGCAGAGCAGCACTGAATACCTACCAGTCTTCCTCTTTCATCATTTCAATGTTGGCCTGATTCTCCATCTTCTTGTACTCCAAGGGGCAGTCAAGAAGAAGAATTCTTGGGTTCTCAATTTTTCTCTTCATTCGGCCTGGTGTTACCACATCCTTATTGATCATCACACCTTGCAGCACTCGCGACTCTTCAATCGCACCCCCTGGGATTTTCTCGATCTTGGCATATTTCTTGACGTCAATCTCTTTCATCCCTCCACCAAGCTCATTCTCAACTGTACGGACAGCCTTGACAGCAAGCTCCTGAGCATGGAGATAGGAACACACAGCAGCAACAAAAACATGAGCAGCACAGTGATGAACCACATTGAGGACAAAGAAACCATCATGGCAGACAAATCTGCAAAAGCCACCAGTCATGCTTGGGGGGACACCACCCAAATCACAGCTGCAATGAAAGTGTTACTGTCGACAGGCCCTTCACTGTCACTCAAGGTACACTGCTGTACAGTGTAACATTGTTCACATTGTTGTATGGTGTTGACAGGCGCTTCACAGCCTGCAGCAATCACTTACTGCCATGAGCGTTCCAAAACGGCTTGTGAACTTGGTTTGCAAACAGCTCTGCACCACTTTCAAAACGTCTTCAGAATTGTCGAAGTCGATGGGAAAAGCGATTTTCTCAACGATGCACAGGGCATCGTCAAGTGCTTTCTTGTAGCCTCGGATGATGACTGTTGGGTGCATCTTCTTCTCCAGAAAAGGCTCTGCCAGATGCAGCAACTCCCCAGCTGGATAGAGTAAGGGCCCCAAAATGGCAGTCAATACAAAATTGTAACATTCCCAAAAGGTTAGGGCATGCCAGCAACCAATGGAATGCCCCTGTGGAAGGACAGCAGTGTCCTATTGTACCACACAAACAGCAGACAAAGACTGGGCAAGGAGACATTGCAAGACAAAACGAGTTCAGCAGGTGCAGATGACAGCAGGGGACATGGGTGTTACTCCAGTGTGTTTGCTATCGTCTTGAGGGGACCAAGCATTTCTGTCACATGTAAGCACTTGGAGGGAGCTTGACAAGTACAAAAGGGCAACGTTATACAGAAGGTGCAAATCTGAGCAAGTGTCATCATGCCACATCAACATGCTACACAGTAGTGCACAGGCAGTCATGGACCATTGCCTAAGACATGAACAATCTAGCCACAGTTTATAAAAATGATGATTTCCACCCTTACCCAGGACAATGACAGAAGTTGTTCCATCACCCACTTCCTCATCTTGAGTTCGACTGAGGTCGATCATGTGCTGAAAGGCAAAAGATCAGATGAGGACACATCATACCACATGACACACTCAGAAAAGATCTCACCTACACTTCTCCATGGGAAGTGCTCCAACATTTCCATCAAAATCCTGATCACCTTATCTTCCACCCAAAGAGAACTATCCAATGCCAAATGTCCCAAATTAACGTCAGTGGCTAATTCTAGTACAACAGGATGACGCAATGTCCTTAAACGTGGCTTCAGATCTGCAAGAACAAACCTCACCAAGCCTGTTGCATGCGCTCCTTACAAAACATATCTTCATTCCAACTCTGCAGGCTGCTGTCAACACTTTTGACGTTGTGTTCATTCACCTTTGCTGCCGGATGGCCCACATCTATCTCGCGCAACACTGCATGTCCATCGTTTGTCAACACAATACCTAGTGCACAAGGTAAAACAAGAATAAGTTGTACACCAATGGACGTTGCTTGCATTCTACCATTGTTTGTCATGCACACTCATCGGCACTTACCATTACCAAGAGTATACACTGACCTTGACATATGCAATCCCTGGTGGGGCACATGTGCAAAGCATCCCAGTGCAAGTGGCCATACGTATGTAGTGCAAATCACTTTGTCTCTGCACAACAGGCTATCGACCAAACCTCCCCAAATGTACCTTCAGGAAAATTCAGAAAAGAGAGCAAGTCTGAAGGCAGATGTCATGCACATTCGCAAATTAACTACTTTTCAGTAGGAGCAGGAGCATCACTGTGCAATTCCTTGACTGCACACAATCATCTCACTCATATTCTTGACGGCAAAACCTGCCAGGTGTCCTAATAATGTGACTGTTGGGCATAAAGCATGGATCAGTGCAGGTCACGTGGTCAGTCACACTAAGGAATTGAAAGAGATCTAAGCCATGAGATAGTCAGAAGTTGGCTGTGCAGCTAAGGCCAGAAACTGGAAAATGAAAATCAAATCCTTCCCACCTCCACTCGCATCGAGAAGCATTTTGAGCATGGACCTGGGACCCAGCGTGGTGCGGATCATGTCCGCAACCGCCTGGCACAAAACGAGCATCAGCGTTCAGTGTCCCACAGCCAATGTGGCAATGCAAAGCCCACAGGCTGTGATTGAGAAAAGGGAGCCTTCCGCTGGTATACTTTTTTCCGATGGTGCCATCACGCACACCCTTGCAAGATGTAGCGAGGAGCTTAACACCAGCCGGCCTCCGGCAGCCGCCGAGCAGCAGATCAGGTGACCCGGCGCATTACCTTGGCAGCCATGATGTTGGCCGACTGTGCCTTTTTGCCGAACTCGCGCTTGGTATTTGCGCGCATCACGGTCACTGGAAGCCTCATCTTGTGCGCCTTTCGCCTTGCGGCGACAAACGCGCGAGTTGATCACGGCAGAATGCGGCACAAAATCACACAAACGATCTCTCCCCACAGCCGAAATGCGCCGTTGCAGGCCACAAAAGCGGCTGCGTGGTGGTCCCGGGTCCTTCGAGTGGGACGCGAGAGAGCTTGCAAGCGACAGCCCTCCCGCGAGGCCTGGTCTCTCGGAAGTTGAATGTGCGGGAAACCAGAGCAGGTTTGTAGACGCTTCCACAGCACAGGCCAACAAAGGACAACAACAGCAAACACATTTTTTGACAAGTCGCACCCCATTCGCCCCCTAAACTCCAAAAAAGGCCTTCAAAGAACACTCTCATCATTCGCCCTGCAACACCCCCCCCAACACTCCCCCCGCGCCGCTGCGACCCCTTGCACTGCGCTGGGTAGCAGTCCGCCTGGTGGAGAAAATCACCCGACACCTTCGAGAAGAGGCCTGACCGCGTTGGGGCCCCAAACGAGAGAGAATTCGGGCGCGATGGATTGGGCTAGTCTGAACGATCAGGCCAATCAGCTGTTGGAGCGGGGACACCCTAGCCAACCTCAGATGACCAGGAACCTGCCGCAGGTGGCTCAGTTCTCGCACCAGCTGAAAGACCGCGTGTCGGTGAGGGACGTGAAGCAGGAGGAGCTGGCGGCGACTCGTTTTTTCGCGAGGGAGGGAATCGAAGCTGAAAGGCCGCCGGACGGATTGTCAATGCAGCCCATGGATGGGGAGGCAGGCAGATCACCCATACCGGCTGCTGAACTGGAAAAGTATTTTGACGGCCGACATTATGAAGGACTGAAGCAGAGAAATGTGGTGGAGGCTATTGCAGCTGCAGACAAATGCATAGAACACACATGGAGGAATTACATGGGGAACGTGTGGCGCAGAATGTCATCGAATCTGGGCGAATCGTGGAAATTTGACGGCGCAGGGCCTGTTACCACTACCCGATCTCAGGCGCCTGGGCTTATGTCCGGCTTGCCTTCACCCCTGCTCGCTTTACCTCCACCAACACCCGCAACGGGGCTGGTCGAACCAGGCAAGCCAAACGTGGCCCCAAAAGACCAAGCTTATGTGAGCGTCATCGGTCAGCTCGCAACGCCTTCGGGACGGGATTTGAATGCTGGATCACTGTTCCTAGAGGCGGTAGGCAAGCTGAAGGAAACCCCATCTTCTGTTTTGGTCACCTGGAAGCTCCTCAACAAGATGCTGGGGCAGCTCAGCACCACTGCGCCTGGACCCCGCATGCATTGGAACAGCGTGCGAGGGCTGCTGCGTGGTGCAAGGGCCTTCATGGAAGAGCACTTCAGGAGCAAGCTGGTGAAGATGATCCAAGGTAGTCGCCTGGTGGCCGAGCGGGGTGGTGACTTGGATCAGCTGAAGGAGGTGCGTGCGTACATCGCAGTGTACCTGAGGGAGCTCAGGCCACTCGACTTCCAGGAGGTGCGCGGCACCAGGACAGACTGGGCACAGGTGTACTACTGCCTAATGGCTGGGTATGTTGGGGAGGCAGTCAGGGCTGCGGAGAATGTGTACTGGCTTGCTGGAAGGCAGGGGAGCAAGGACCTGAAGGACTATATAGAGGAGTGGGCAGATGGCAATGGATCCTTATCAGCACCATCAGCAGCCACCTTATCCCATGAGTGTGAAAGAGTGTCTACATCTGGGACAGGAGTCAAGCGACAGCCAATGTACAAGTACATGGTGATGACGTTGGCACTGCTGGCAGGGGACATAGCATCAGCAGACAGGCTCCTCACTGAGTACCCCCACTTTTTCGCCAATGTTGAGGAGTACCTGTGGTTCTTCGCTAGCACTGTGAGGCAGCGCAGGGAGTCCTCTGTGGGTAGGTCAAGCCCCCCCTTAGGTTCTCACCCAGTCATGGCCTTCACACTGTCAGACTGGCAACAAAGGGTTCGGAGCCAGCCGCCAGATTACTACACCAACAATGGGGCAGAGCCTTTCACATACATCAGGGTTTTGCTGACCAGCCTGCAGTTCAAGACTGCCCTGCATTTTCTCACAAACTCCCCAGTGATGCAGAGTCACATCCCAGATGCAGTGCACATGGCAGTGGCACTACAGCACCATAATGTGCTGCAGACTGGTGGAGAAGGAGACAGTGGAATGAACTCCTTTGGATTCGATGTTGGGGAACTCGTGCGTGGCTACGGTCGTCAGTTTGTCCACACCGATAGCTCTCTGGCGATGCTGTACTATCTAGAGGCAGCAGATGTGAAGGGTGGCTCCCTGGAGCTTCGGGCAGCAGCCCTGAGAGACCTTCTGAGCGAATCGAGGGATTATGGTAAGTGCTGGCCCTAAGCAACGCACCGATCCACAACTTTGTTTTTGTTGCAGCAATTTTGCCATTGCTGTCTCAAATGGTGGCAGATGCTGGACAGACAGCGTTGCCCCATGGGCCAGATTTGCGTGGCATCATCTGATAACGAGAGTGCCGTTGACGTCCCAAGGTGCATTTCCTTATCTATGCCGCAAAAATGCTTTTCAATTTTCTTCTGATTGGATTGGTGCCCATGTGTGAGGTAGCTGAAAGCAGACACATCTTATCATTTATCCACAACGTGGCCAGGTACAATTTTGGGTGGCGGTGGAACGGTGGGTGGCGGGAGCGCAATGAGGGAGTGTGTTCCTGAAGAAGCACAGCGCCTCCAACTGATCAGGGCGGCCGCTGCTCAAGCACAAGATGCATCGCAGCTTGAGGAAGCTGTTGAGCTCTGCATGGCAGGAGATCAGCCTGTCAAGGCCTTGAAGATTCTGAACCTACAAATTGCCCAGGCACTGCAAAGATTTTACAATGAACTGCGAATGAATGGTGAAAGAGTGCAAGAGCTTTGGCATGAAGTGGAGAGACTGGCATCAAGGTGTGCAGATGCGCAGGAGAAGGTGGGAGAGGAGCGCACGTACGATGACAGAAGGCAGCTTGCTGCCTGTGAGCAGCTGATGTTGGTCAAGGCTGTGGTTGAGAACCAGATTCAGAACAGGTGCGAACTTGGGAAATGATTGCCCAGCTTGCAGCCCTTTCAAGGGACAGTGTCGTTGCAAGTTGGCTTTGATTGGCGATGCAAATGCAGTACCAAAGTTCCTTCCGTGACAGTGTAAACTGGAGGATGCAAATTTCTTGCTGACTTGTTACCATGATCTGACTTCCTCAGTGTGTCCCTGTTGAAGGACAGAATTAAGAGTAAAGTCAACAGTCACTGAATACCATGTTCTCACTGGAATGGATTGGAGCTGCTCTTTACGTCCAAACTTGACACATTGCAGGCATGTGGAGTTGCAGTTGTTAGTGGTGTTCTGTGTTGCATTCTGCTCTTCAGGACATCTGAAGCAATTGCCATTATGCCCAAGCTCACGTTCCTTCCCAGTGAGTCAGTGGAGGCGGAGCAGTATGGAAAGCAGGTTGCACTGCTGCATCCAGCGATAATTGATGCAATGCCAACACTCCTGCGATCGCTGGGATCGGCCCTTCGTGATGAAATGGATCGCCGTGGTCGTGAGTTTGTGCATGGGAAACTGATGGCCCTCTGCCTATTCTCGGGCAGCATCCCGGCACCACACAGGCCGCCACAAGATGTGTGTGGGGATTTGGCACAGATGGTTGAAGCCGTTCGATGACAAACACTGAATCAGTGCAAGTGGAGTGGGGATGGGGTTGTAGATGTGGTATGTGTGTTGAAGTGTGTGTTCCTTGCCAGTTAGGAAAGGTGCTTCCTACTTGCATGCATATGAGTGGCATGGTGGTGTTCATATGGCAGTCACCAATGCTCTGCATATAAGATGGCTACGTATTGATGTTTGTCATACTGCAGTTCTCTGATTGAAATGGCCAATCAGTGAAACATAACAAGAGTGCACCCATCACTTTGACAACAGATTCCAAGACTCCATTGTGCTCTGTGTTCCCTATGGCGTATATCTGCTGCCAGCTGCTGGGTATTACTAACTAGATGTTCAGGTGTGAACAATCGAATTGGATATCTCTAGTAAGTGTGGATTGTTCTTCTCGTCTCCCCCCATATTTTGGTTAGGTGAGTGCGAGAACTGCATCCAATGAGCCTTGACTCTCATTACTGTGGCGTTTTGGGCCAGAAATCTTGAGGAAGGCTAGTTGCCTCAGCAGCGCTGCTGACACCACGTTGCTCTTGGCAGCTTGTATCTGAATGCCGATTATGGATTGCGCAAGAGATTTTTGACTGGCATTTATTGTTTTCTCCAGTCCTTCAGCTTTCCTTCGAGTCTGGCGCATCTGTAAGTTTGGCCCCCAGACTAAAAGGACTGTCATTGACCCTCATCATCCCAGGGTGATTCCCAAAGCTGACAGATTGCAGCAAACTGCACCACGACCATCACGCCATGTTGCGGCACCTCCCATCAGTTCCTCGAGGCAAGGCCAGCACCCACAGTACTGTAGCCGGCCACTGTACACGGAAACACTCCCTTGGCGCGCGTCCTCATCGCGTGTGGCAGCTCCTGAAAATGCGACAGCACATCTTCAAGAAGTGTGGCACATCATAATGTTGCACGGCACATCATCAATGGGGCTTGAAATGTCATCACTGAGCGTGGTTCGTCATAATATGGCACGCATGGCACGTCATCATGGCCTCAGCGTTTCATCAGGGCGTCAATGCTCCATCACAGCATGCAACTCTCAATCAGCCCAGCTATCGAATCTGCAGCAGTCCCAGCATGCCGTAATGTATTTTACCCTTCTGAATTGTAACGTAACATTTGACCTTTGTAAGCGGATCAATAATGAAACGAAACGGCACCAAGCAAATGTGGAGCAGCTCCAGCCGCAACGCGAGGGACTCTGGACTGCTCGTGGCGTCCAGCAACCCCAAATGCATGAGCCGCTGTGGCGGAAAACCAGCTTTTGGGGCCATGTGAACTCACTGTAGTGGCCACTCTGGCTGAACATGATGCACCCCCCCCAAAATAACGGTCTGTCGAAAAA